GGGTATCATAGAGGGGACTAAGATACCATATTTTCATAAATTAACTGAGGGTGGGAAATCTTGGAACAGGGGAGGGGGATGAGAGTTGCGCGGCTCAAGGATAGGACCGGGGACCGCCTGGGAAAAACTTAAAAAGGGCCATCTTCTGCCCCGCCTTCATAATTCTCACCCCCCCCCACCACCACCACACAACTCGCCAATCTGCTCCGCTCACACAACCACACCCCTGCTTTTCTGACCTATCGATAAAAGCTTGTTTAACTCCGACCATCTTGGGTGGTGTTTTATTCTTTGGACTGTCTTATTTGTCGCTTCTCCTTTTACCCACCGTTCCCGCTTCCGTGTCAACCACGGTACCTACACGCACCCAAACACTCTCAAACCTGTTCCTGCATACCCCCCCTCCGAAAACCTCTATCTCCCCCCAGCGTTTCCCTCCTCCATACCATCCCTATACAATAGCAATGCCATCAAGGCCCTCTTCGGTCCCGTCTATGCCAGGCATAAAAGCAGATCATCACCTTGCCCAGATGTTGCGCGGCGAGATTGCAGAGATGCTTGGAAGGGGGAGGAACCTAAACTTTCCTGGTATTCCCCACTTCCGGCCCACCCATAACGCACCGGTTACTCCCCAAGAGAGGAATTATGCTTATTATTAATAGGCGCCCAACCTATCTCCTTTGCCCGCAAGCATCTCGACGAACTCAAACGCGAAGAGTAAGTTTCCACCCTCTCCCTGACGGATGCTGCAGGTTTAGCTAGTGCGACTTAAGCTATTGTCTAAGCTTTGAAAGGGGCTCGTCCGATCGAATACATTATAATCGGGTTGTCTGACTGACTATTATTAGTTATTACCTTTGCGAGAAATCGGACGGTATACGTTGTCTACTTTATTTCACTTTTGATGGTGACCATGAGGTCCATTACCTGATTGACCGAAAAAATGATTACTATTTTGTCCCCCACCTACACTTCCCCATGCCTGATGATCCTACCTTCCAGAGATACCATCGGGAAACATTGGTCGATGGAGAGTTGGTCTTGGACGATGTCGGTGGACCGAAACCGTTGTTGAGATACCTGATCTTCGACTGCTTAATACTTGACAATAGGCACGTGATGAATAGGACCCTAGACAAGAGACTTGCTGTGCGAGGCCCCTGATCTCTTCTGTGCAAAATCGTGCTAACCTTTGGCAGTATTTCCGCGAATATGTTTACAATCCTTATCAGAACCTCATCCAGAAATTTCCAAAAGCGTTGGATGATTTCCCCTTCCAGTTAGTGCTCGCCCCTCGTTAAGCTTAACCACTTATATTATTTGTTTGGCTCTTCAGTCGCACAGATTGCTAACAGGGTCGGTCGTGGTAGGGTCGAATTCAAGAAAATGGAATTCTCGTACGCAATTCGAATGATGTTCCACGATGTCCTGCCGAATTTACCCCACGGTAATGATGGGCTTATCTTCACTTGCCGAACATCGCCGTATAGGTTTGGCACAGATCAGAACATGTAAGCTGTATGTTTCCATTTGGATGTGGTGGAGCTAATTAATGTCTTTCAGCTTAAAATGGAAACCAGCAGAGGAAAATTCAATCGACTTCCGACTGAACCTCGAGTTTCCGCTTATTTCTCGGGAGGACCTCGAAGACGATGACGAAGATGAATCTGACACAGACTCAATGACACCTGATTATGATGCGATGCCCAAGTTCAATCTTTCGGTCTTTATGGGTGAGGAGAGGTACGAGAAATGGGCAGAGATGTATGTTACGCCTCAGGAGTGGGATGAGTTTAAGAGCATGGGAAAACCTCTCGATGAGGAAATTGTTGAGTGCGCGATGGACGACCAGAACAGATGGAGGTTCTTGAGATTAAGAACCGATAAAAAGGATGGCAATCACATTTCGACAGTTAACAGCGTTATCGAGAGCATCAGAGACAGGGTAGGCAAGGAAGATTTGATGGGCGCTGCTAAGGAGATACGAGATGCTTGGAAGGCTAGACTTCTCGGGAAACAACAGCACTAGGAGTAGCTTTTTTCTTTCTTTCTGAGTCACTGGTTGTTTGTCAAGGAGTGGGATTCAGCATTTGCTTTCGTTCCGGTGTTTGGGATCAGGCCTTTTTGTTTGCTGTTATGGTTGGGTGTCTTGCAAGGTGTCGTACGGCAATCGGGTATTTCGCTATGGACGGTCTTATTACGATAAATCATGGGGGTGGGAATCTGCGTGCGGGTCTGTTCTGAGGCGGCGATGGCTTTTTGTTTTTAGTATTCCATTTCCATAGATAAACTCAACCCGGAAGAGTGTTGATGTCAAATTGGCCTCTTCTAAGCTGAAGGGAAGAAAAAAGTGCAAGGCGGGAAAGGTGCTCTTTACAGCTCGGCACCATAATAACCGAATGTTAGCCATACCAATCAGTGGTGGCTTGAGTTTAGGCTTCAGATATGTAGCACGGTACAAGATTTGTTCGAAGAGGGGGGGCATGCCGTATTATGCCGCGATGCAAAACGACCCACCCCCCCTTCTCTCCTCCCCTAGGGCAGACAACACTCAGGTACAAGTACTGTACTCGAGTATGATATGGGTGCTGTTATGCGAAAAATGTACTAATCTCTCAACGCAACAAATATACTTCACTTCATATGAAACTTCTTGAGCATGTAGAGTACCCTCTGATAGTCTTAAAAAATATTTGTCAAAGAAATTGAGCCCAGAGTAGAGTTTTAAAGTGAATATTTCAAAAAATCCTTTTTTTTTTTTATTACATAGAAAAATAAAGAAGATAAGGATCTATCAGGAAAATATTTCTGGCTTTATTTTAGGAGGCGAATTCATTGTTATAATATGTTTTGTAATTTTCATTTTATATTTCTTGATTGCAACTGTAATAATAAACCTGTAGTATGAATAATAAGTACAACAGGAGATATCAGACAATCTGATTATCCAATCTCTTTTGTAAGATGTTAACATAGTGAAGCAGAACTTCTCAATAAGAGCTTGAATTAAAGTGTAATCTTTTCATTAAGCTCAAGTAGTATAAGAAATATCACTATATTCATTCTAAATTGATGGAACACAATTTTCTTCCCAAAGTGGATTCTTCTTCGAGTACTAGTTATATTGCTGATATGGATAACAGTGATCATGAATCTCTTTGGGAGTCTGAAGAGCTAGAGACTAATACAGAATCAGAATTTGCGAAAACAGATTTTAGTTTACATTCAGGTAAGACAAAGAATCTTCTTATTAGTTGTACAATAAATTAGATATATTAATAGATAACTTGAATAGATTCTGGCGATTTTCATGAACGTATTAGACAATTTCTAAAGTTATGCTCTTACTCTCAAAGCTGTACTTTAAAAGCTAGTACTGAGGAGTGGAAACAATAGAGAAAGCAGTACTAGTAAGTTTACATTCTCAGGACTATACTTTATACTATGTAATTAGAGAAATTATTCACTAATCAATGATCAGTGGTACAGGAAGCTAGTGGAGAATAGGAGATATACTAGGACACAGATCATGAGCATGGCACAAGTAGTCTAAAGACTACTATATCAGATACTGGATCAATAAAGCGACGTGGTCAAGGACGCCCTCCAGACTCTACAAATAAGAAGAGGAAAGGAAATTGAGACTTGTCAACTAGAGAGATACTAAGTGTATTACTTGTCTACAAAGATGTAATTTTTAATGATAATTTTTAATTACAATATTCCTTATTTTTTTTATCATAGGTCTGTATTACCATAAATTCTAAGTTTTTTAAACTTGGTTTAAGTGAAATTCAACCATTATTTGTACTGTTATTATAAAATTTAGAGATTTAATTGTTTTTCTTGTTTTTCTCAAGATTCACTTGGTTGCTATGCAAACTTTAAACCTCAATTACTGCACACTCTTTAAAATGCAACAGTACATTTTTTGCATAACAACACCCAATATTAAATATATTTTGGACATACTGAATGCTCATATTTTATTTTAATATATATGTTATTTACACATTTTATGATCATAAAAAATATGATAGACATACCGAACAGGTCCTAAAAAGATAAAATATTTCTCTCTGAACTTCTTTTAATTTTTAACAGCATACAAATAGTGTCAAAAATCCAATCATAGTTGAAAGAATAACTATTTGGCGCATCCAAAACACTGACCCAGATGGTATTACTTGTTGACCTTGATACAACTAAAATATTCACCTATAGGCTGTTATATACAAATTTTCAGTTTATTGGATAATTATAGTCCTAATACCACATTCTGGCCCTACTACTGATTCCACATATTGTAATTAAACTTCAGTCAAGTTGTGTCCTGATATTATAATAACTAAATTTAATATTTCTTCAGTAACACAATATACATTGTCATCATACTATATACTACAAGCTGTTTACAGGATATAGGAGAGAGGGGCTCTTGTGAAAGTTGAAAAGTAAAATGGGTAAAATCAGTCAGAAGTACTTATAGTTATTAGGAGTTGGAGTTAGTAAAGCTGAAAGTGATCCAAAGGTAATAGGATACTTTTGTAAAAAAATGAATATGATAAATGGAATTCTATTATATTTATCAATGTAACCAGCTTGATGTTAGCACTCATCTACTTAGTACTCTTCCTAATAGTACTGTTTTCTATATCACTTAGTTAGTATTCAAGTGAGTATAACTTGTTCATTCACTTATTTGTACCCTTTGTTATACTAATATCCAGTTAAGTTCTATTCATTATTGCTACAATTACTACTAGGTTGGATCTTTGTAGTGACTGCTTGATTTATCTTATTTGAATTAAATTTCTTATATTGTTAATTTTATTCAGTTAATTTAAGTCTGCTTCTTTAGGACTTTGATTGATTTTCTCACTACTATATTAGTATTATTGAATGTTTTCCTTTAATATGATATTCTTCTTATATTTCTTAGTTACAGTTGTTTGTATTTAAAGAGACTATATTCGCTTAAGGATTTAGTTTCACAGGCTTTACAGGAATATTCAGTTAGGAATAACGGGATCCAATATCTAGGAACCAACTTAAGTAAAGTAACTACATTTGGAATTAGAATCTCTTGTCTCTAATACCCCTATCAGGCCCCCTTACAGAGTCTGCACATTATCATACGTACTTACTTCAATTACATCCTGTGACTATCACGTGACAGAATTAAGAGTGTATGGATAATACTGTATACATCACTGCTGTCTGTTCAACTGGATCCTGTTTACAGAGTTTATAGAAGAGGACCTACTGCTAAGTCTGGGAAGTAAAACAGAGTACATCTATTAACTACTCAGAGAGTTATTAGGCTTCAAAGTTGTGACAACTTTGGCAAAGGCTATA